AAGGAATAAATGGATATGGGATATTATATTTATGACAAACAGCTTTCACCTGTGTTTGCCCATTAATAATAAAAAAAACAGCGGGACAAAGTGGTAATGGCACAGTAACCCATCCTTTGTTTGCCTGTCCTTTTCAAGATTTGCCCATAAATAATATAAAAGGACATGGGATGGGCAGTAATGACGCAGCAACCTGTCCCTTTTTCACCCGTCCTTTTCAAGATTTCCCCAATGAATAATAGAAAAGGATGGGAAATGGGTTGCTGTGCCTTGACCTGCACCACACCCATCCCTCATAATTGCCCGTCCTTTTTTAATTATTTTGAAAAACACCCGTACCATTGCCCATCCTTTTCTAGTATTAAAGGGCCAAACGTGAAAAGGACGGGGGATGGGTTCAAGCCACACTTGTCCGTCTCCCATCCTTTTCCAGCATCCTGAATAAATTGAATTTTTTTAGTGTTAGCATGAATAGATAAAAATAATGAGTCTTTTTATACTACTCAAATATTAGATAAAATTATAAAATTATTATTTGAATAGTATTTTATGTTGTTATGGTATGATTGATATAACAGTCCAAATTTAGTTGGTACAATTCAATAAAATGCTGGTATGATTAAAAAATGTACCAGAACCATTGTACTGTATTATACTAACAAAATTTATAATAACAGATATATAATTGACTCAAAGAATTTGCACAGTAATCATATCAAATTTAACATCAACATAAATGTTTACTACAGTGAACCCTTGTTCCAACGAACCTTGTTTCAATGAAGTATAATTAAATTTTTGATACAACGAATTTTTAAAAACATTGTTACACATTATGAAAACATATAAAAATTCGTTGAAACGCGATTAGTAACCTTGTTTCAACGAATGTCGAATAAAATTTTCTTATATGTCCAGCCACTTCGTTGAAACAAGGGCAGACTGTACATTGAAGTTCTTGAATTGGTTGATCATTACTATTTGTATCTACTTGCTAAAACATTCAACAATTTTTCATTGTTTCAGTCAGTTACTCTTTGAACAAAGTGTGATTGCATTTAAAATTTTTAATGGTCCAAAAGGTTTTGATGCATATCATAAGCATTGATTGATTTCTGTTTTCAACAAGTAATTTTCTATAATGAGGCTTAAAGCATGTAAGTTAGAATAAATATCTAATACGTACTTTGAATGAGTAAGTTATTCCTGCATCAGTCAGTAGGTTGCAGCATAGCAGTTGTGTTAAACAAAATTGTGTGCGTTAATTTATTATTTATTTACTTAAAAAAGTAATAATTTTCAATTTTTATTTATGGGATTTCAAATTCTTTAAGTTTTTTTTATTTGGTGAGAACACAATCAATCATAGTAATACCAACAATCGGTTTAGCTTTATGGGGGGAGGAGGAGTAAGTAATCATTAATCAATATTAATATTCAATTTTTTTTTAGGTAATAAAGTTGCAACGTTTATTTATGTGGTTGCCTCTATAATTATGATTGCAAATTTTTATTTTCATACTTGCTTATGTTATAATTAAACATGAAGAAGCATTATTGGTAATTATTATTATTATTATTAAATCAATTATGTAATTAGTGATATTTATTGATAATAATCTAATTTTCCAATAGTTGATTTGGAATTAAGTTGCCAAGAATTTTCAATTGATAAATCAATCAACTAATAAACAAACAAACAATAAAATCATATATATATATATAATAAATATTTATATAGTATTAAATCAAATAAATTCAATTAACCAATTCAACCAATTCATTCAATCAACTTTTCACCTACTGTATGTAATTGACATACATTACTATTATTCATATTAATTAATAACCTACCAATCAACTTATCATCAATCAATCAACTAAAACCATCAAATAAATCATCAATTTATAAATATGTATAACTATAGACATGCAATCTGTCCCCCCAATCACTCTATCTGACCCATCCCTCCATCCAGCCAAATCTATAGCATTATCATTAAATGAACAACCCCCTCTTTCCCAATTATATCTATTCATCTATCTGACCACCAACTAACCAACCTTTCATTCATTCACTCAACAATATTATATAATTGAGAAGAGAAACAATATTATTAATCTGATCATAAATAAAAGATGTAGTAGATTAATTATTTTGTAAAATATAAAAATAAACAATTTTTATTCTTTGAAAGATTGTTTTTTATAACTTGTTATAATTATTGCAAAAAATATATATACATCTTGTGGAATTATCTTTGTATTTTATATTATAATTATTTTTTTGAAATATATAGATCCCTTAAACGGTTTTTCGGCTATTGATAGCCGAAAATTTTTTTCTGTTATAAAAAACTTTTTATGAAGGTATCACTTCCTAATACGAAAATGATCTCTGAGGTTCAACTAATTGATCTGTGAATAAAAATTCGGTTGTTGTCCTTGTGGTTTTCGTAAAATCTTTTTTAAAAGCTGGTCGATTGACTATTTTTACTTTGCAGATCGTTAAATTGGCCAATAAGAATGCAATATCGTGATCAAAAAATCATTTTGTGTTACCATTAAAGAATACTTTGACCGTTTAAGAGATAGTATCTCGAATTCGTGTAACGAGGCAGTTCTCATTATTTCATAGGTCAGTTTTATTGAAAAAGGTCTCAAATGAAAAAAAAATGAATGATCTGATCTTTGAAGCTTCGAAATCTCCAACCATAGCAACTCCACTTACACCATTTACTTCCACGCCAATAACAAGCGATAATAAAGCTGAAGAAGAAGAAGATGATGCGGAAGAATATACTGAAATTAGGGCAGCAGGTGAATTTGATTGGCAAATGCACACTAGAACGAAAGAAGAATTAAAGTATCAAAGAATCTTAATTGATTAATCGTTTTATTAATTTATTATTATTACTAATTTGTTTCCACTTTCTTCTTAGATTATTATTGGATAATTTTTCAGAAGATCAACTTAAAAGATATGAAGTTTATAGAAGATCTGCTTTAAGTAAACCTAATGTTAGAAGGGTAATAATTATATATATATATATATATATATACACACACACATAATTTATTATTTTTATCATTACTAATCGTAAATAATGAAAATGGCTATTTATTTTGTACATACATATATTTAGTTGGTAAGTCAAATTTTAGGTCAACCTTGTTCTCATAATATGGGAATTGTTGTTGCAGGTTTTACCAAAGTATTTGTTGGAGAAATTGTCGAGAAAGGTAAAAAATGAGAAAATAAAATTATTAATATTTTCGTTATATATATTAATTTAATAATTTTTAAAAATAACAGCATTAGATGTAAAAAACGAAAAGGGTGAAGTTGGAGCATTAACGCCAGTACACTTAAGAGAAGCATTCAGAAGATATAAGAATGACACTGGGTTTGAAAGTCATCTTTACCAAAAAAGATTATTCAATAAATAAATATAAGCATATCACTTTTGTCATTGTTATTAATTAATCTTATATATATATATATATATTATATAGTTACTGTATGACTCATTTCATATAAAATAATATTTTTATTACTCACGTTGAAAGAAAAAATTTTATTGTCATTCCTTACTATTTAAAATTACATAAATACAAATAAATTAGATAAATAATGAATATAAATACAAGTAGATGATGAATATGTTGGAAAATAATAAATTAATCAAATGGATGAATTGTTTTTTCCTTTACATACAACCATTCTGTAACATTAATGTTATAACAGTAATAAATATAATAAAAGTATTAACCCATAATCCATTACTACCAACATTAACAATAATATCCTTCACTCCACTTGTTGTTGGTCGATAACCAAAAGGTCCAGTAGTGGTCGAGGGATAAGCAACAATAGTTGTACTGGAATTGCTTGTGATGGAAGCAACAGCTGCACAAGCATCTCTAATATATTCAATTGAAGGTGGCGTTCCATCAGTATTCAATGTGGTGTTCTGTTGATTTGTAGCTTGAAAACATTCCACACATAATGGATAAACTTTTAGAAATGTATCAAGACATGCACACTTTGCAGCTTCGACAAATCCCAGGGGATCGTATAAGACACTACTAAAATTTTTGAATATTTCGTTTGATTTCGTACATGAGTCTATTGTAGAATAATTTTTTTGACATTCTACACATGATTGTATGTTTGGATCAAAATATGGAGTTTTTTGTTGCCCCGAAATTACAATTGGAATAAGCGTAAAGAAAATTATTACAATAATGATGTAAATTTCAAACAAAAATTTTTTTAATGAATAATTGTAACTTCTCATAGTTGATAATAAGTTAATAATAATAAGTTGATGAACAAATTGGAGAAAAAATTAAGGTTCTTTACGTGACGTACGTGACATTTCCATTTTTGAAAAATAGTTCAAGGAGTTATTACTATTTATAGCAAAACTTTAAAATTTTTTGATTCACAAATCTGCTGATCAAAGTTTACTCCTCAGGGGTGATCGATCAAAATTTACCAAAAGCTTGTCATGTTGGTTTTTTATCTCATTTACAATGAAAGGTTAAGCGGTAAGGAACATTCTTCTATTCGTTCCGGTTCTGTGTCCGTGTGGGATGAAAGAGAAATTGTTATGAGACGTTGGACTGATGGTAAAAGTTGGTCTGCAAGTAGAATCAATGGAAGTTTTTTAACCTACAGAGAATTAGAATCATCTAGCTCTTGTGGTAATAATAATTCTCATGATTTATTAAGCGAAGACACTGATTCAAGTGAATTTTATCATTCCTCCTCAACCACCAAAAAATCTATATCAATTAAACAATGTAGATAAGCGTGATGATTTGGTAAAACACATTAGAAATTATATTTAATATTTTATTAGACCAAAGCTGACATTATTCAAGAAAAATTATCAATACCACCAATTCATGTCAAAAGGAACATATCTGGAAATTTATATTTTGGGCGGTAACAACCTCAATAATAATGATAATGATTAGTTCTGGAAACGTTGGCAACAACAATACTAATAATTCTCCTCGCCATAATCTTCACCAATAATATCAACAATATTACAATCACCATCATCACCATCATCCTGTTCTACATTATTCTGGTAACAACGTCACCCCAACAATTCCAACCACTTCTCACTCATAATAGTCATAAAATAATAATTCATCATAATCATCATAATCATCATCATCATCATCATCATCGTCATCTTTTCCTTTGAATTTCATTTTGAAATAATTTGCCAATAAAAAATTTTTTAGATATCGATGGAAAAACAAAAAAGCTGAATACCCAATTCTATCTTCATTAACATACCAGTATTTGGGAATTTCTTCTACATCAGTACCTAATGAAAGCCTTTATTCTGTGGCTCTGATTGAACTCCTTCAACATCAATTAAAATACTATCTTTTCTCGTCAAAAAATTTCTCAAATGACTAAATGATTATTTACAAACATCATAAAATAGCTTAGAAAATCATGATTTTATTATTTAATCGTTATTGTCATTACCCTTAACAGTTAAAGATATTGTTGATGATGTTGTTGATGTTATAGATACTGTTGAGATTGAGGCTGATTTTATTGTTTACTTATTGAATTTCAGCTGTGGATGATGATGACATTAACCGTCGAAATAAATGAAGAAAATTCAACTATATATATAATTTTTTTAGATTTCAATATAAAAAAGTTTAGAAAACTAGTTTGTTCAATTTGTTGTTGATATGTTGAAAATAAATCTGGGGTCATGATGTTTATAATGTGTTTGTGATGAGTATCCAACTCCTAGCATTGATGATTCAGTTTTTTTCCTAACAAAAAAAAATCTATTTTTTGTTGTTAACCTGTAAGATTGATGATAATTATATGAAGTTCCGGTGTAACAGTAGATATTTGGGTGGATTGAAAACTGAAGCTTTTGATTCATGTCTTTTTATATATCAAATTAAAAAAAAAATTTCAATAAATTCATTTTTAAAAATTATTTTGTTTATATTGATTTTGAATTTTAATGACATCTTTCTTTCTTGCAATTTTTCACATGTATCTTCCCACTGATTCGTATTCATATCTCACTTTCAAAGGTGACATGTAATATAGAAATTTTATTATTATTACCTTGCCTCAGGCAAAGAAGCAAAATTTTATCCAAAATACTTTGATAAATTCTTCATATGTATAAATATTATTATTCGTGAATCATGATCATGACTTGATTCTTGTTAATTGTATAAACTTTAACGGCAGTTGGTTACGACCTGATCTTTAACTTGGTCTTTCTGGCAAGTCTATAGTGTTTTTGTGTGTTTAAAAAAACTCACCAATATATATAAATGATGTTTTATCTCCTTCGTTCATGAAAAATTTGCAAATGAAATTAATATACACCCAATGCAAGATATATAGTACAATTGTATATGTAAGCAACTTTGTACCACTGAAATTATTTTAAAATCGTAAATCTTTTTCAAATCTTTCAAATTATTCATGTCACATAGAAAACTACGTAATGTTCAACAGCCCTCGCCATCATTTCCAGCAAAAACATCCAATCAATCAGAGAAAGAAAAGAAAGATCATATTGCTTCTATAACTCAATTATGGACAATGCCTCGTGCTACTTTGTTATTGATAACACCAATTCTCATATCAACAGTTCTCCAAGTCTCACCTCGTTATGTAGAGCCTGTTTATGGAAACGTTTTTTCAAATTTATATTTTGATAATGGAGCTTCAACTTCATTTATTTTTGGTATATTGGTTGGAGTTGGATTTTTGACCAAAATCAAAACTTGTTTATCGACAGTTCGTGACCAAAAAATAACAAATGCAATAATACTAGGAATTGATTATTGTGGATTAATATTTTCATTTTCAACATTAATGGTTAAATTACTATTTAAATTAAGTGGTCTACTAGGACCATACATAGGTCCACATGTGACTCAACTTGGTTTAGCATATCCGATCATGTTTTCATTGGGATTTCTTAATGCAATTGTTTGTGCAAGGTTATCTAGAGAACAACGACTAACAGTCATTAGATGGATGCCTTATGTTTTAATGCACACTGCTATCATCCAAACACTTACCTATGTTCTTTACAACGTTTATACCGCGGGTAGATCTTGTCATCGTTTAAACTTTGCAGGTTTATTGTTGGCATTGATAGGAGCCTTATTTAAAATTTTGAATATATATGGCAAGGTTAATTTGGTTGAAGATACGGCAGGTCAAAGAAATAATATATTTGATAATATTTCAAGATCGGCCAAATTAAGATCATTAAGTATCATTTTAATACCACAATTTCTTGTGATAATATTAGCAATATATAATTTTAATTTTAATCCACATTGCAATCCAAATATAATTCAGGTTTGATTTATTTTTATTGATTGATGTTTACATCACTATAGAAATAATTATTATTGTCATCATTTAGAATTTAACAATAAATGGTGCTGAATATAAAATACTTGCACGCAATGAATCAATTACTGGTTGGATTAGTGTAATTGAAACAAATAAACCTTATCATATGCGTGTAATGCGTGCTGGCCATTCATTGTTAGGAGGAATTTTTTTAAATACTTTTGATTCTGTTTATGGAAGTTTTTACTTTATGGAAGGTAAATGCAAAATAATTAACTATTTTTTTAATTATGATTTTGAGTAACACTAAACTTAATTATTAAATCTTTTAGCTGTTCGATTGGTTGAAAACAGAAAACGTAATACCAAAGAGAGAGCTTTACAGATGTATGTATGTAAACTAGCCTCAATTATTTTCTTTGGTATAGGAAAATGATTTTTACAATATTTTTTTAGTGGATTGGGAATTGGAGTTTCATCAAAATCGTTACAATTACATAAAGTAGCATTAGATATAGTGGAAATTGATCCAGTAGTATATGAGTATGCTAGAAAATTTTTTGGATTAAAACGTAAACACAATATTTATATTCAAGATGGACGTGAATTTATTAATAATGCAAATAGCCGATATTATGATTATGTGTTGCATGATGTATTTACTGGTGGTTCAGTTCCATCTACACTATTCTCAATAGAAGCATTAGGGCAAATTAAAAGAATTTTAAAGCATGATGGTGTGTTGGCTTTAGTAAGTGATGGAAAAAATTATTTTCTTTATTTAAAAAAAAAAAAAATTGTTAAAATGATTTTTTTTTTTGTTAGAATTTTGTTGGGTCTCAAAAATGGCCACATGTTAAAAGTTTAGTATTAGTTGCAAATACAATTAAAGCAATTTTCCCATATGTAAGGTGTTTCAGAGAAGGTTTACAAGAGGATGGTTTTTTTCAGAATATGGTAAAATATAAAAGTTATAATTTAATTATCATAACCTATTTATTTCTATTTATTTCTAGCTATTTTTAACTATAAAATATAAAATTTGTTTTAGGTATTTTTTGCATCAAAT